GGGGGGGGGGGCGGGGAGGAGGAGGGGAGTGGTGGGGGCTGGAGATCTCCTTTCTCTGGCTCAAAGAAGCCTTTAGAATTTTCTCTCCTATTTTCCCCTCCCTGGCCAGGGACAAGGTGCATTTCCCCTTGAGGAGGATTAGGTTTTTAGGGAAAGTCTGGAGGAGCTGTGGCCTTCTGCCTTCAGCCTGGTTTAAACCCCCAAGTCAAGGAAGCACAAAAAGTCCAGACAATAGTGCTGTAACCCAGGGAAGAACATACAGATTAACATGTCAACACCTGTGCTGCAGTGCTGGGGACACCTGTCTTGGTCAAGCCCCACACCAAGTCCTGTCAAGTCCTGCTGAATATCTCTAGGCTCCATCCCCTGCCTTCATTCAGGCCACCATCATCTCTCACCTGGATTTCTGCACAGCCTCTAAACTGGTCTCCCTTTCTCATAGTCATAGCCCGAGGACTCTCTAAAATGCCTTTTTGACCATGGCCCTCTCTGGGCATCAAATGTATTTTTTTGGGGGGTGTCAAATATTTTAATGAGTCTTCCATCTCCTTCTCCAGACAGATGGTGACATCACCTATTTCTTACCTTCCACACTACAGCCTCATCTCTTACTACCAGTCCCTACTCCCACTACCAACTTTTTCTTCATCTTTAGCAAGCTGGCTGTAAGTTGTTAAACACACCAGTCATTCAGCAAATATTTCTTGAACATGTACTGTGTGCTGGGCCCTAGGGTTACAGCAGTGAACAGACAAAGCTCCCACTATGCTTGACTCTAGGCCCTTGAACATGTTGTTCACTGTTCCTACATTATCTCCCTTTACTTTCTTTGGCCAACTACTCATCTTTCAAGACCCCAGTTTAGCCATGACTCCTCTCTGATGCTGTCCCTGACACCCGTAGTCACTTAGTTGCTTCCTCCTGCGGGTTCCTATATAGTCCTCTAAGTGTTGGCACAATTGTTAGCCCTCCCAAGGCATTGTTATCCAGCCCCATGGCTTTAAATTCCACCCAGATTTATACCTCCAGTGCAGACTCTCCATCTGCCTACTTGCAATATAAACTCAGCTGTCTAATAGGCATCTCAAGATTGCCACCCGCACAAATCTGTTCCTTTCATCTCAGGAATTCGCTCCACCATCCATCCAGCCACCCAAACTAAAAACCAAAGCACTGTGCTTGACTTCTCTCTCGTCCTGGGCCCATGTCCACTCCATTAGTACACCCTGTCAGCTCCACTCCTAAAATATATCTCCAATCTTGTTTGCTCTCGTCTCTGCTGCTACCACGTTAATTCAAATCATCATTGATTTCCTGTCTGGAATACTGCAACAGGCGCCTGACCGTCCATCCTACATACAGCAGCCAGAGTGATCTTATAAAATCTTAATTCAGATTATGTCGTTCTCGCTTAAAACCCTCCAGTGGTTTCCTATTGCACTTAGAATTCAATCCAGTTCTGCAAGGCCCGGGATGGTCCACTCTTTCCCACTTATCTCCTCCTCCCTCCGTTCTTCCCAGTAGCCTGGCCTCCCTTCTAGTCTACAAATGCACTGATCCTTCCCTGCCTCATGGTTTGTGCACTTGCTATTCCCTCCTCCTGCGGTGCTTTTCCCAGCATTTTGCTCATTCTTCAAGTCTCAGCTGAAATGAGAAGCCATTCTGGACCACCCTTTCTAAAATGGCTTGTCCCACAGTAGCTCTAATTCAACTTTAGAGAACTTATCATAACCTATAATTATCTTGTTTATTTGAGGATTATTTGTCTCCCGCCATTAGAATGTAAACTCCCAGAGTAGGGATCTTGCCCATATGGTTCACTGCTGTATCCCCCCAAAAAGGCCCAGGCCTTGCATGTAGTGGGTAGTCAGTAAATATTTGTGAAAATGCTTGTTTATTCATCCTCGATCACAGGCATCACCCTGCATTAGAATCTACTATTTACGTGTCTGTTTCCCTAACAATGTATGAATTCATACATTGCTCTGTGTTTCTGGTACATAGTAGGTTGTCAGCGAATGTTTGTGGAATGGATGGAAGAAAGTAAAAGGAGCAATCAATGAAAGGAAAAGAAATCAGGAGAGTGGAGTTGAGGAACCCAAGGGAATAAAGTTGAAATCAAGGCCAGAGAAGTGAAGTGAATAATCTGGCTCGTACCAGGCACAGACCTGGTATGGAAGGGATGTGGGCCAGAGCTCTTGGTCACAATCAAGGTGTGAACCTGAATGTCCCGGGTGACTTTTTCTAACATCTTCTTCATTCATCTGCCCTCATGTCTCCTTGCAGGAAGGACATTTCCCAAGAAGGGCCAGACGTGTGTGGTGCACTACACAGGTAGGCCTCGCTCCCTTAACCTTCATCAGACCTGCCCCTTCCGAGGTAGGTCTCTCCTCTGCTACTCCTCTCCAGAGATATCTGCTCCCCCAGATCAGGCCCAAAGCCCAAGACAGCCAAGTCTCCCTTGAACCCAGCTATCCCCCACCTCTCCCAGCCAGCCTTGTGGGAATGAGAAAAAGGGCTTACAAGGTTAACCCCTTCCCACTTGTATCAGCAAGAATCATCAGTGGTGCCAGCCTCTAATGAGCAAGCCCCTCCATTAATTCCTCTTCCCTGTTGTGGGCAGGGTGGAGCGCGGGCCCTCCTGGTTCTGTCTGGTATTTGGAAATCCCTTCTTACAGCTCTGAGAGCCCTTTCCCTCCCTGTAGGATCCCTTTTCATCCTCCAGTATTATTAAAGAAGAGGAGGTGGCTTCCTCAGAATTTCCTTTCTGTTTTCAGACACAGACTATTCCATTCAACCTACTATCAAGCACCTACTGTGCGCAAGATGCTGTGCTGGGCACTGGGGGCACAGAGATGAAAAGGGAGCATTCCTACCTTCTTTGGGGCAGCGGGGACTTGGGGCGGGCAGACAAGTCACCCAGAGGCTCTGGTGCAGTGAGGGGTGGGACAACAGCAGTGCTCTGGGAGCCGGAGGAGGGCCCCGCATCTCTGCTGATCCTCTTGGATGGTCTGTGTTGGAAGGCCAGGTGGGCTGAGGAATATTCTAGATGGAGTTCCTGAGGCCTGCTGGCAGGAAGATCACGAGCAGGTGTTTTTCTCAAAGCGGGGTGAGTGCTCTGCCTTGTGACCTGCTTCCCAATGTGGCAAACCTGGTCACAGCCACTTAGCAGACAGCGAGGCCAGTTTAATTCCTAGGACATATTGAGATGGGGCCATTTTTAGCAGTTTGGGCCAGTGTGAAGTGCCAGGTTAATTCTAGGCAGACGGTGTGGGTATTTCTCAACTGCTGTGTTGCCGTCGCTGACGTCATTGGGCTGGTGCTGTGTTTTATCTCCTGGTGATGTGGCCTAATTACCTTGAGTCTTCTGGGGCCTCTGACCTGTGTAATTGATTTATCTGTTCTACATGCTGCAGACAGATCTGTACTTATCAAGTTACTGAAACCACAATATCCTTTTGCAAAGACTTTTCACAATCTGTACAAAGAAGAGGCAACGTGCATTAAACACTGACACCAGCCATGAATGGCTCTGCCTCATCAAACACAACAGGAGACTGTATGGGATGTTTTGGTGAACTTCTTTATTAAACATAAATACAGCAGAGAACATAAATCTAAGATGTACAGCTCCATGACATTTTTCAAAGTGACTGTGCTCAGGTAACCAACTCCCAGATTAACATACACATTTCCAGCATCCCCAGGAGTTTCCCTCTTGCCTCCTCCCAGTCATTACGCCTTCCTAAAGGTAACCAGTGCTCTGCCTTTTGTCCCCATGGATTGGTTTTTGCCTGTTTTTGAATGTCATATAAATGGAATCACAGGATATTTTTGTTTGGCTTATTTCCCTCAATACTATGTCTGTGAGATTTATCCAGAGTGGTTCGTTCTTTGTTATTCCTGTACAGTTCATCGTATGAATATACTACGATGTATCCTTTCTAAAGTTGATGAGCATTTGGGTTGTTTATAGTTTTGGGTCATCATGAATAGTGTTGCTTTGAACAGTCTTGTAGATGTCTTTTGGTGAACATCTATACGCATTTCAGCTGGTATGTGCCGGAAGTGGAACTGCTAGGGCACAGGGTTATAGCTGCTCAGCTTTGGCATGCACTGCAAATAGCTTACCAAAGCAGTTGTGCCAGTTTCCACATCCACCAGCAATGTATGAGAGTTCCAGTTCTCCTGCTTCCTCACCAACGCTGGTATTATCAGGTTTGGTTTTGTTTGGGGCCCACTCTGGGTGCCCAGTGCTATCTCATTGTGGTTTTGACTTGCATTGCCCTGATGACTGATGAAGTTGAGTAGCTTTTCATGTGCTCATTGGCCATTTGGACATCCTCGTTAGTCCAAATTTTGCCCATTAAAAAAAAATTAGGTTGTCTGTCTTTTTTCTTTTGATGTAGAGATTCTTTATGTATCCTTGATATGCGTGTTTTGTTGGTTGTGTCTATTTCAAACATCTCCCATGCTATGCCTTGCCTTTTTACTCTCTTATCGGCATATTTTGAACAGAAGGTCTTCATTTTCGTTTACATATCAATCTTTTCCTTTATAGTTGGTACTCTTTTGCATTCAGTTCAGAAACCTTTGTCTATCCCTAGGTTATGAAGATACTCTTCTATTATCTCGTAGAAGCTTTATTATTTTATCTTTCATATTTAGGTCTATGATTCATCGGCAATTGATTTTTGTGTGTGGGTGAGGTAGGGGGTCAATGTTCATTTTTTTCCCCATATGGATTTCCAGTTGATCCCAGCAACATTAATCAAAAAAGTCATCCTTTATCCTCTGTATTGCAGTGGCACCTTGGTCAAATCCAGTATATACATGTGGGTGTTCCTGGATTGCATAGTTTTGGCTGAACGTGTAGCAGTACATAACTGTGTATGAACTGAAGTAGATTAAGTCATATAAAACCTAAAGAAATTGGGGAACGAGAAAGTCAGTCTTTAAATGGAGCATGTTAATGTGTATGTGTGCATATCCACACATGTAGTTGTCCAAGTATGTGTCTATGCGAATGCATGTGGATCTATGTACCTAAATGTTTCCTTAGCATCTGTTTGGCCATTGGGGTTTTTCTTTGGAGGGTGTGTGCATAAGTACTTGTGAGTATGCATGAGGATCTCTGTGTATCTGAATGTCCCAGCAGCCGGTATGTATGCATGAGTTTGTATATGATGTCCTTAGTTTCCATATGTATAGCCAAGGGTTTCCTCCTTTGCCTGATTTAGTACCCAGGGCAAGAGCCCAATTTATTCTACCTGGAAAATAGGTGATGACTGCCCACTGTGTACATTTAAGTTGTAGGAATTAGGAAGAGGAATCATAGATGCCCAGACACTGGCCCAGACTTCCCATGTTACACATGGCAAGTCCATGAGAAAGGAAGCGATTTGCTTAACTTCACACAAGGAGCTAGTGCCAGAGTGAAAGCGGAATCTAGTCTCTGGACTTGCAGGGCAGGTTTTTCTTTGGTCCCCAATTGCCTTTCGTTGGGTCCGGAGGCTGCAGGAAGGAGTCAGAACAGCATCACTTACAGAAAGTCTGATCTTCGTCAGTCACCAATAAGAAAAACAGGAAAGCAGTTCTTGGCCCTCAGGCGGCTGGACTGAGATGACATGTGTACATCAGGGATGACCAGGCATCTACAGCTGGAGGGATGCCCCAGACGGAAGAGAGCATCTGGGGTGTTCCAGGCTCAAACAGCCCTGTTCATATGGGTCTGGAGGCCGCCACTGACTGAGTCACCTTCCACTGTTTGCTGTGACCTTTGGGTTTTGCATGTTGGGGGAACCTTGGGAAAACCAGGTGAGGACTCAGCCTGAGGCGGAAATGCCTGGGAAAACATCTTCAGGATGAGGAAGTGGTCTCAAAGTAGTTGTAAAATGCAGAGGTATTTGAGAAAGGTGTGACCAGGACAGGGGGAAAGGGCAGGAAGGGGAGAACAGAAAGAGGGTTGGTTACCAGCCAGATCTTGAGGCGTCTGTATGCCATGTAGGCACTTGGATTTTGCCATGGGGAGCTATTGAAGTGTTTTATAAGCAAGGGATAATATCAGCTGTGTGTTAAAAAATAAAAAATCATTCTGGGTCACTGTGGAGAATGGAGTAGAGGATTAAGAGTGGAGCAAAAAATGTTAGAGGTTGTTCTTGGACACAAGTGAGACATCATGGTGACAGGGTGAGGCCCCAGGGTGGTGGTAATAGAAATGGAGAAAACAGATGATTCCAAAGATACATAAGACTTGGTGATAAGCTCTGTGTGGGGTAAGACAAAGGGAAGAGTCCAGGATTCTTGTCTGGGCAATAGGACAGATGGGAAAGATGGCAAGAGGAGGTTTGTGCAAAATAGGAATTCCATCTTAGACATTTGAACCAGAACTGGGAGTTGACTCGACCACAGCTCTTTTCCACTTTATTCTTGCTTTCCTAGGAATGCTCCAAAATGGGAAGAAATTTGATTCATCCAGAGACAGAAACAAACCTTTCAAGTTCAGAATTGGCAAACAGGAAGTCATCAAGGGTTTTGAAGAGGGCACAGCCCAGGTAGGATGAGGATCCTGGTTAAGGGCACTTTGAGGCATCGGGCGTTGGGCGTCTGGGCTGGGCACTCTGCCCTCAACCCTGTCACAGGCCACTTCGGCTTTGACTCTGCTGCCAGGGCATGGCAATGCCATCTAGTTTCAGTCCTGGCTTTGTGTCCCCACCCTTTGTGTTGCCAGCATGACTCCTTTGCGTCACTGGGGGTTCTCATCCCAAGCTTGCTTAGAATTAGCTGGGAGGCCTGTGAGCTACCAGCTATCCAGGACTGAGGCAGCAGAAGGGTTGCAGTGGGGTGGGCCAAGGTATTGCTGTTTTTTAACTTAAAAAGATAAATTTAGACTTGCATAAATATTGCAGAAATAGAGTTCCCATATGCTCTTTACCCAGCTCCCCCAAATGTTAACATTTGACATAATCATGATCAAAACCAGGACATTAACATTGATACTATACTATTAACCAATCCAGATTTTTGAGTCAGCTATTCAGCATTTAAAAATCTATTTTCTCAAATTTCACGTTGTTTCACCAATGCCCAGTCAGTTCTTGATGAGCAGTCATGCGTCCTGGTTCGAGCTCTCCTCCATGGTCTGTGGTCACGATGCTCCACGCGAGTAGCTCTCTTAGCCATCTCCACCTGGCTGTGGCCTCTACCCTCTAAACCGCTGATGAACTGTTTATGTCACCTACTTGATTGTGCACGTGCTCTTTATATGCCCTCTATAAGCCTCTTTAGAAGAGAGTGAGGAACAATTATGGACAAATAGAAATGTCTGGGTTATACAACAATAACCAGCAGTGTTTGTGGATGAATGAATTTGAGACTACTTTGTGGAAGTCACTGTCCCAGTCACGTTCCTGCTATTCTGAGGCAGAATCTGCATGTGTTACAACTCTTAGCACAATTTCAATGTGCTCTGTATAAGAAATGCATCTCAGATCTTCAGTTACCATGAGGATGGTGTGGGAAAATGCCATAGTTACCTTACTTTTTTCTTTTAAATCAAGCTGGGTCCTCTTTCTCCTCTCCCCATCTGCCCCCATCCCTGCTAGATGAGCTTGGGGCAGAGGGCGAAGCTGACCTGCACCCCCGATGTGGCGTACGGAGCCACAGGCCACCCCGGTGTCATCCCTCCCAATGCCACCCTCATCTTTGACGTGGAGCTGCTCAACTTAGAGTGAAGGCAGGAAGGAGCTCGAGGTGGCCGGAGAAGGCTGTTGCCCGCCACTGGGATGGCTCCTCCTGCTTGGGGCTCTTGATCAGTGTGCTCACCTCACTGCCCCATGGCATAACCCATTCTCTCTGCCCAAGTTGCTCTGTATGTGTTCGTCACTGTTCACGCGTATCTTTGCTTAAGGACACTTCAGTTGCAGATTGAAACATTTTAGGTTGTGCATTTTGCGTGATGCATGTAGTAGGCATTCCTCAACAGAGAACACAGGTTTCTCGTTTGCACAATCTACACTGCCTTACCCTCACCTAAGCCAGACACACAAGGTGCTCGGACATGAAACATACATGGTGTGCACAGAGGAACTTGAGCCAGTTACCTTTGCTGTCACTTTCTCTCTTAGAAATTGTTGGCTGCTGACTTACAAGATGTCCTCTTTGGAAATGACATGATGTAAAATAAAGGCTCTGTGCTTGACCAAGTCCTGTCCATCCTTATTGTAGGTAGGAAGGGCTTGAAGGGCCACATAAGCCAGTTGCTCTATGGGGAAAAAGAGTGGAAAGGAGCCTTCCAAGTAGCCAGAAGAGCAATAATAAATATAATAGCTACAATGTATTGTACATGCTGGGCCTTGTTCTATAGATTTTTAAATAAAATGACCACCAATCCTTTAAGCAGCTCTATAAGGTAGGTATTACTTACCACTCATCTCACAAACTCAGAATTCTCCTCTAAATAATTAAAGGAATATACTGTGTTCAAATCCTGCAGCTTAGCAATAACATGTGGGACCTGAGCACTTGGTGATCTTGCGAACTCTAGCTGTTTGGACTTACAGGGACCTGCTCTCCTGCCCTGAATGGAAAAGCCTGTGTGTCTGAATAAATGAAAGTGTATGCAGGCCTGGGAGCCACATACTCACTCACATTGGGAGGTTACTTTTGAAAAGAGTGTGTAATTCTGAGCTTGTTTTCTGAGCTGCTTCGTTTCATCTGGATTTGCTCTAACTTACATTGGGGAATTACTTCTGAGAAGCAAGTATGATTCTGACCTTGTTTCTACTGCTTAATTTCAATGACATTTACAGTAAATCATGGGAATTCCCAGTTAGGTTTTAAAATCAACCCACTTATTGGTGTGGGTTGTGTGTTCATCAGAGGAGCCCAGGACAATGTGGCTAAGAGACTTTTCTTTCAGCTGGCTTAGGTGAGAAAAGCTTTTAGCCAGTCAGGGTTATTCTGTCAGTGATGACTTGAAATTGTTAAGATTGAGGAGGGGCTGGTAACAGGTACCATTAGTTTCCTTCATGGGCTCACTGATGCGTGTCACATGATGTCATATATATGCCACAACGCCACATCAGCTTGGCCACTTCATCTACCCCTTTGTCTCTAGGAAGCTCTGGCGTATTCCTCTGCTGAGAACTGAGGAGTTAAGAGGCAGTGCTTTAAGATGGAGACAATAATGAGAAAGGGGCTGCCTTGTCTTTAATCACCTAGTTCCTATGCTCACTGTTGGAGTAGAACAGCCAGAGGGTGCTGCACTCATTCCTTTCTGGGGTGTTTCCTTCATAATGTCTTAGCTCCCAGCTTTCCTTGATGACACAAATGTCTATGATAATTTATCAGAACTCAGCCTGTACAAAAGACATCTCACGTTTTCTGCTGCGACACCAATAGGACAGCTATAAGTGGCACCAAGGACCACTGCAGGTATACATTATGGAGTCTAGATCTTATTCTAGAGTATTTCCAGCCTCGGTGGTAAAAGGAGACAGCCAGTAGAACCAAAACAAACCAAAAAATGCAAATACCTCCTGGCGAGCACCTGGAGAGGATATGCTAGGCTCTCCAGGCCCTGTTTTACTGGAGCTCTTAAGACGATGCAGAAAATTATGATTCAAAATGCCAATGAGTTTGGACATTGTCCTGTGGGAACCACTGGAAGTTGTTAAGCAGGAAAGAGATGATAACATCTATATCATTTCAGTCATTTTTAAACTTTCAGTCAATACATAACTCTAGTCACAGAAAATCTTTCTTAGAAACTCAAAATTCAACCTAGAAGGATGCAAAGCAGCTCTGGCACACGTGTATGCACATACATGTGCATGGAAACAATCAACCCTTGCACCCTTAAAAGCAGTTTGAAAAACTGAGCCTTAGATGCCTGATACAGAGAACCAACTGTAACTATATCTTCAGCGCCATAGCCTACACAGACCTGGCATGGACTAGGTCAACGGTTCTCAACCTGTGGGTCGCAACCCCTTTGAGGGTCGAATGACCCTTTCACAGGGGTCGCCTAAGACCATCAGAAAACAAAAAGATACTTACATTACGATTCATAACAGTAGCAAAATTACAGTTATAGAGTAACAACGAAAATAATTTTATGGTTGGGGGTCACCACTACATGAGGAACTGTATTAAGGGATCACGGCATTAGGAAGGTTGAGAACCGCTGGACTAGGTGCTCAATATTTGTCCACTGAATTAAAGTTCTTACAACTTAACAGGGACAAGCTACAAAACTGTCAAATAGTTAGAGGGAATTTTTTAAACTCTTAATTTTAGGTCATGAAATTCAGCTAACAGATATATTAATCCAAACGATGGACTGGCCATAACTGTCAATAGTAGTAATTTCCCTTTGTTATTAATTTAAAACAACTATACCAGGCACACCGGTCTGCCACTTAGACAAACCACATTGTAAGGCTAATTTGTTTTCCTCTCACAAAAGTCTTTTAGAAAATTATTTTTATGTTTGTAAATACCTAAAGGCACATCATGCATTACAAAAATTAATAAGGAATTCACAAAAGCATGCACAAGAAAATTACAACTGTGGCTCCTTTGTCATCTGCCTGTCCTTAAAAATGACTCTTTCTACCCTTTTACAGTGCTTTCAAAAAGCACTCAGACATAATAAAACAATTATTTCTTCATTTTCAATAGTAGGCTTTGAGAAGACAGTACAAAAAGTATAAAATAGCCCATTTTCTTAAAGTAATGAGAGATTTCAAAGCTAAATGCATTTAAAAGTAGACTAGATATTCTTTTTCTATTGAAATGATTCAATCCTTGTACTTCTAGTTGGTTTTGGGTTATCATTATATATAAAACTATTAGTCCACGTTTTTCCACTTGGTCCATGCCTAAACTATAAAAAGAAAATTATAGCTATCTCCTTCAAGCTGCCAAGCTATGATGGATGTGGTAATAACTATACTATTTCCATGCCATGGGAGCTCATGATTATAAGACTAAGCATTAAGTATTTCATTTATGGCACAGATACACTATGAAGTAAGGTCCAAATATACAAATACTTATTAACTAAGTGGAAATACTACATAAATACAATCATAGACACTAACAACCAACACCACTAGCCACATTGGATTTCTAACAATGTGCTATCATCTAAATGGCCATTTCTGGAATAGACCTCTAAGGACAAGGGTACCCATATTGACAAAGGTGTTTGTTCACTGTAAAGCAAGCATTATTCAAATGTACTAGTGTGGTTAACGACGGGTTGATGTTACAGCAACTTTTAATGTAAACATTTTATTCAATCAACCAACACAGTGAACTCTGGCTTCCTTATCTGCAAAAAGGAGATACCTATCTAAGCTTCACTGAGTTGTTAGGAAGATTTCATTATTAATAGACACTCAAAAATGACAACATTCTAACAAGTTCCCGTGATGGCTAAGCACTGGGCTGGACACTGGAGGCATTAAGAATACAAAAAGGTCCCTGCTCTCAAGAAGCTCAGTTTCGAGGACCACCTACCACCAAACAATTCCTGCTACGGTTCAACTGCTGTGTTTTTTCCTTGTATCAAACAGGAGGGGAAAGTTCCAGAGAAAACACTGACATGTTTTACAAAAAAGCCAGAAGTTTACTAACAATATATTCTAACATGTATCAAAGTTTCAAGCAGGTTATTTTGAATCTTGAATAATAAACCGCAATATTCAGTATTAATTAAAAACTGAAAAGGGGTGGTGGTGATTCACAGGTCTCAGTCCAAAATACAAATGCAGAAAATGTTTACTTTGGTGGATCTGTGTTGATGCCATATTTCTCCTTGAGAAGCTTCAACTGTTCTTCCTTCTTCTTTGTGTCCATCTTCTGAAATGCCTGGAAATGTGGTAAGCACCAAAATCAACAGTTACCTATCTATAGTCAAATTTCACTAATCGCACTAGCCAGAAAAGAACTCGAGAGTATAAATTGCCCCATCAGTGCAGTTCTGCACTAATTCTTACATGCGCTCCCCACTCGATGAGAACCATGGCTGTACTTACCCTGTTGGCATTATAGTACAAAACCACAAGGTATCTGTTACAAACATTGAATCCCGACAGGTGATCACAAGCGTTCTTGGCATCAAAGATGTCTTCATAGACCACATAAGCTGTTCCTCTAGTTTCAGGTGTATTCCCCCTGCAGAGTTGAATCAGGCTTAATTAATTACACATTTACCTGAAAACCATTAGAAAAAATAAACATTATACAATAGATAGGTATGCTGAATAAGCCTGCAATTTTCTGAATTAGGTAATTTTTGTTTTTATTTTAAGTAAAATAGATATAGGTTAAACTTATATCAAAAATACTAATACAGCTGCTAAAGCAGTAACAGCAAAGACCTAGCTTGAAATTTTGTCACCGTCTTTATGTTCTAATTGTCCCTACTTTTCATACTAAGACCCAATTTTCAGCCTAACACCAGCAAGTATAGTACTGGAGAGTGATGGCTCCCATTAGTCAGCAATGTCTTGAATGGGGTTTTTGTTTTTTTAACTGTACCTTTATGTAACAGAAACAATGCTTTATTTACCACATTATCTCCTAGAAATCAGTCCCTTATTTCTAAAGATTTAGATCCCCCCCACCATGATTTAATTATAATTTCAATTCTTAAAGATGATCTTCATCAATGTAGGAAATACATTTGTGGGCAATATTTTACGAAGGTTTATTAAATCCCTAAAATGAAAACCTACTTTGTGTCTGTGGGGGGTGGGGGATGGGTGGGAGGGAAGCGCCTACCAAGAAGATGGCAAAATTCTAAACAAGATATATATAAGAAAACAGTCAACCATCATCTGTATGGCCAGAAAAGGATGTCTGCCAATGTAGAGCGTTAATGTATAATAGTTTCTACCACTTAGAAAAATCTTTGCCTTTTGGGCCGGCCGAGTGGCTCAGTTGTTTAAGAGCTCGCTCAAGAGTGCGAGCTTTGAGCAACAGCGGTTCAATTCCCGGCCTGAGCTGAGCTGCCAACAGGTGGCAGGATGGCTCAGCTAAAAAAAAAAAAAAAAGATAGAAAAATCTTTGCCTTTTAAAACTGCAGTACAGTCAGCCCCCTGCATTCTTTTTTAATACAACTGGCACTGTCATGCATTAAAATTCCCTTTGGCTGCGGAAAGGGCTGGCTTCTGCAGAAACTGGGGTGGAAGTATGCTTGTGGGTAGGGTTATCTGCGAACCGGAACAGAAGGCAGCTGGAAGTACAAGCTGCACCTTGCTCATGGATAAGAGCTGTAGGTGTTCCTTGCCACCTCCTCTCCTCATCTCTCCAGCTTCCGTCAGGGGAGGAGGGAGGGAAGTGTGAGGCGCAACAAACTGCAGGCAGCGGATGGCTATGTGCTTATTAGTGGGGACAGTGGTCAGAGAGCCGACTCAGCTTCTGCTCTGCTGTGATAAAGGCAGACCCCTACTTCCATCTGTGCTCCAGCCACCCAGTGCAATTGTGGAATGAGGTTTCAGACTGTGGTGTGCCATAGCCCTGGAAGGTCAAGGTAAGGGAGCGGACCATGGAAAGGGAAGGGACGAGGCTACAGTCTTGGGGCTCAGTCAGAGCTTGGGCTTCCTGTAAAGGGGGTGGGAGAGGCAGAGTACAGGGGTGGTTGGAAGGTGCCAGTGTCGCTGAATGCTCTCTCATTGTTAGCTTGCATGGGCCTGATGAGGAATTTTATAATACTCTTCACTCTCTGGGAAGTCTAACAACTTTCAGACTTTTGACTTTTAATCATTTCCAAGAATGCATGAAGTGTGAAAGTGGGGGATTGCCTGCCTGCGAAAACACTGCCTCAAAAGTCTACCTAATTTTTCCTTTGGAATAAAAACATAAAAAAACTTACGTTCCTTAAGGCACACATGGTTTTATATTTCATTTTACTCCCACAGTGTTATGTATACCACAAGTGCATAAGCATTTGAAGGGTGGAGATCTCCTTTCTCTCACACGTCCTTTCTCCAGGAAGTGAACAAAACCAAAGCATCTCCTTTTCTTCCTCTTACATAGTCTTAGGAAGAATAGGGATAAGCACTAACCCCATGTTAGTCTCTCCATCTCACGTCTCCCAGCCCCAATTATCAACCTATTATCTTGAGAGCCACACTGTAATTTTAATTTTTAAAAGCATGTACTTGGGCTATTATGTCAGGTACTGAGCCAACATTATTTTCTTGATTGGTGGTATAAAAGCTTAGAGCAGAAATAAGAAAACCTAATCATGTAATTCGAGCTCCCTGAACTTCAGTTGCTTCATGTGTCAAATATAATGACATCAGATTCTATCACCTGCCCTACCTTACATGTGGCTTTAATAATCAAAATGGGAAACAAGGGCTGGCCAAGGGGTGCGTTGGTTAGGAGTTGGCTTGGGATGCCAGCTCTGAGCAGCAGGGCCCTCGTTCGGGTCCCACATGAGGGTCAGTGACACTGTGCCCTCTATAGCTAAGATGGTGAACAACAGCTCGACCTGGAGCTGGGCTGCCATGAGTCGCCAGCGACGGCATAGGCTGCAGTGGGGTTGGCGGGCGTGAGCTGCTGTGAGCAGCTGTCCAATGGCCGGCGACCAACTGCCTCACCCAGAAAGAGCGCAATGATCATAACACCAACATTGGTCAGTGAAGTGACGTCCTCCACAACTAGACTGAAGAACAAAAGGACAGCAACTTGTCTGTTCCCCTTCCCTGATTCCCCAATACAATCTT